GAGATGAGGAGGAATTTCTTCTCTCAGAGGGTTGTGAATCTTTGGAATTTATTGCCACAGAGAGCAGGGGGTTCAGATTCCTTGTATATGTTTAAGGCTGAGATATATAAATTCTTGATCTGTAGGAAAATCAAGAGTTATGGAGAAAGGGAAGGAAAGTGGACATGAGGAGTGGTGGATCAGCCATGATCCTGCTGAATGGTGGAGCAGGCTTGAGGGGCTAAATGGCCTACTCCTATTCCTATTTCTTATGGTCTTATGGTAGAAAACCCCAACCTATTACTACTGTCAGTGCACCTTGAATTGTTCTAAATAGCAGGCTCCACCATAACAAATACTTTACAGCAAAAAATATCCAGCATATTATATCAGTGTTATACTAGTTGACAACTTAGTTTTATTTTTATTCACTGTGTTAATTCTTCCTAATATCAAACATCATTCTCAAAATAAATATGATGACAGTATCTTAACTGATAGATCATCTTTGTCACCATTCAGTCTATAACTGAGCCATAATATCCTATATAAAACCCTGTTCTGAGTTCTGAGGAAGGGTCACCGGACCCGAAACGTTAACTCTGTTTTCTCCTTCACAGATGCTGCCAGACCTGCTGAGCTTTTCCAGCAACTTTGTTTTTGTGCCTCAGAATGATGCTCGTGCTACATAACGGCCCAATAAAAAGAGGGTTCATAGGTCTGGCCTACATTGCCCTCATTATAAATGATTAAGTCATGGTCTAACCAAGGCACACCTTCCTCCTCAGCTACACAAGATTCACAGACTGTATTCTGCCAAGAGTTCAGTTTGTAATTCATTAACGTGGTCAATAATGTGATAAGAAGCAGGTAATCATGGCTTCGACCTTGATCGAGGGGCACGTTATCCAGGACACCAGGGAGACTTCCCCACTCCTCTTCAAAAAAAATACCATGGGAGTCTGAGGAGGCAAAGCTTTCGGTTTAGGATCTCGTTGGAAAGACAGCCCCTTCCAAACACCTTCTGTATGTAACTCACCCTCCGGCAGTGCGGCGCTCCCTCAGCGCTGACCCTCCGACAGTGCCGCGCTCCCTCAGCG